GAGCATGTGTACACTCACAAACATATTAATCCCTTAACTTATAAATCTTCAATACACCAAAATCACTAAGTGGCACTAGATGCACTTACAATATATGTATCAACCGATGCAGAGGTGTGGGTACAACCACCTTTCAAAAGAAAAAGAACGCCGGAGCTAGTCATGGATATCTTTTACCCATTTCCGATCTAAACAAAAAGGGATAAAAAGAGGGAAATACACAAATGAACAATGTCTATGGACATAAAAATGGTTTATTATCCCAAGAAGCCATCATTTTTTATGATGTTTAACATATGTACACGATACAACATGACATGCATCCATCGCTTATTTCATATTTTCAAGTAATAGGAATGTTGTCTTCGAATAATGGGGGTGCAATGTCAGCTAATTGTACAGAAGCTACTACACGTTGTATTCTTTTTTTTTCTCTTGGAGTTTCTGGAAAAACGTTAAACAAACGATAAATGTAAGTGTGTGTGAGCTATAGACATACATTTGTCCCTTTTAGAAGTTCAAGGGGTCATATATTTTTATATGAATTTTAGTAGCTGCACATGATATAACATAAATTTTACTCCCTCCGTTCCATAATGTAGTGAGTATAGATTTTTTTTAAAGTCAGACTTCGAAAACTTTGACCAAGTTATTAGAGATGACTATTTATATCTACAATACAGAATATATAAAGTATGAAAGTTCATCTTATAATGAATCTAATGATATAAGTTTGGCATTCTAGATGTAAATATTTTTCTCCACAAATTTGATCAAACTTTGTGATGCTTGACTTTTTTAAAAATCTATATGAAACAAGGGGAATAGCAAATTGAACATTTCTCATGTTTTTTACTTTGAATTATTTAGTTTTGAATAATGAAATCTAGTGATAAAATAGCTTGTTACATGAAACCCAATGTGTCTCAGCATCTTACTTCAATCCACGTGTTGTAAATAAGTTCTGTTTTTAGTATTCAATGAGACAAAATGATTGTAGTCGAGAATGAAACATAGCTTAAATGTATTTTGGACTATATAAGAGAGTTCCATGTATTATATTAAGGTGGGAGAAGAAATAAGTACAACCAAGCACTAGTAGAAAACAGGGCTTTGGTTCGGCTAGAAAAGAGCATTAATCCCGGTTGCATTACGAACTGGGACTAATGTGAGCATTAGTCCCGGTTCGAGCGGCTAGGGCATCGTACGTGCATTAGTCCCAGTTCAAATGGAACCTTTAGTCCCGGTTGGTGCCACGAACCGGGACTAAAGGGTGCGATGCCCATTAGTACCGGTTGGTGGCACCAACCGGTATTAAAGGTTAGACCTTTAGTCCCGGTTCGAGCCACCAACCGGTACTAATGGGGTTTGAGGCATTAGTATCGGTTCGTGGCACGAACC